GCATGGAGCAGGGACTCGCCCTCCTGCTTCCCCTCTTTCTGGGGCTGCTGCAGCTGGGCCGCGGTGAGCGGGGCAGGGGTCTCCGAGCCGGGAAGGGGTTGGGAGAGAGGAGGGGCTCGGAGGAGGGGGCTGGGGCTGGGGGCGCGGGGTGGGGCTGAGAGCGCCGTCGCCCGCAGGTGGGCCGCTGGAGGTGGAGCCCCCCGAGCCCGAGGTGGCGGTGGCCGTGGGCGAGTCGCTACAGTTCACCTGCCGCCTGGCCTGCGAGGACGGCAGGGCGGCCTCTGTGCAGTGGCGGGGCCTGGACACCAGCCTGGGCGCCGTGCAGTCGGGCGCGGGTAGCAGCGTCCTCTCCGTGCTCAACGCCTCGCTGTCGGCTGCGGGGCCCCGCGTGTGCGTGGGCTCCTGCGGGGACGTCGCCTTCCAGCACATCGTGCGGCTCCTGGTGTTCGGTGAGCCCCCGCCCCTCCCTCCGTCGTGGCACACGTGGGGGCCCAGCCAGCGGCCCTGCTTTCCCGCTATCCTTGTGCCACCTCTGCCTGGGAGGCTTCCCGGATTGCCCAGCCCGCCCCAGCTCAAAGCCGGCCTCGCAGGTCCTCCTGGGTCGATCTGCAGTCCGCTCCCTCCTCCCCGCATCCCCTCTCCCCCAATCCACCCCCAAACCTCCTGTACCTGACCCCCTTGCCCTTTCTGCGGGTGGGACACTGGGTCTTCCCTGTCCCCGGGCACCAGCAGTCCCCACGCCCCCTCCTCAGGGCCCAGCCCTGACCCTCGGAGCTCTGCCCACCCCCTTCCTCCACTCCCTCCACAGCCTTCCCGGACCAACTGACTGTGGCCCCAGAGGCCCTGGTGGCTGGGCCGGACCAGGAGGTGTCCTGCACAGCCCACAGCGTCACGCCTGCTGGCCCTGACACCCTCTCCATGTCCCTGCTCCTGGGAGATCAGGAACTGGAGGGGGTGGAGGCCCTCCGGGATGTGATGGAGGAGCCCCAGGAGGGCGAGGACCCGCTGTTCCAAGTGACACAGCGCTGGCTGCTGCCCACCTTGGGGACACCCGCCCCACCCTCCCTCCACTGCCAGGCGACCATGAGGCTGCCCGGCTTGGAGCTGAGCCGCCGCCGGCCCATTCCAGGTGAGCCTGTGCCTCAGTGTCCCCCAGGAAGTGGGTGAGGTCACACCACCCAGCGCCTGTGAGCCTTGATGAGCGGTGCCCAGCGGCTCTTATGGAATCCTGGTTAAGCCCCTCCCCTGCTGTGTCACCACCTGGGCAGGTCACAGTACCACAGACGAGGAAAAATTGCATTCGATCTTTATTTTATTTTATTTTAAAATTAATTATTTTTGGCTGTGTTGGGTCTTTGTTGCTGTGCGCGGGCTTTCTTTGGTTGCAGCGAGCAGGGGCTACTCCCGTTGTGGTGCGCAGGTTTCTCATTGCGGTGGCTTCTCTTCTTGAGGAGCACGGGCTCTAGGAGCGCAGGCTCAGTAGTTGTGGCACACGGGCTTAGTTGCTCCGCGGCATGTGGCATCCTCCCCGGTTAGGGCTCGAACCCCTGTTCCCTGCGTTGGCAGGCGGATTCTTAACCTCTGCGCCGCCAGGGAAGTCCCTGCATTCGATCTTTAGTCTGTCCCTTCGTGGCAGCCAGGGGCTACTTCTCACTCGTTTATTCATTCAGCAGATTCGCTGAGCACCTACCCTGAGCCAGGTCCCATGAGGTGCTGCCCTTCCTCTGCCCACAGCCCTCCAGGGCTCCCACCTCCCTTTGGGTGAAAACCCAAGCTCCCCGTGCCCACGGAGCCCTACAGAGCCTGACCTGCTTGCCCGTCCCCCACCCCCACCCCCTGCCTCACTTCCTCTCTCCCCCTCACTCCGTCTGCTGTCCCTCCGACACCCTAGGTGCAGTCCTGCCCCAGGGCCTTTGCACTGCTGTGCCCTCCACCGGAACGCTCTTCCCCACATCTCCCTCACCTCCCTCGTGTCTCCTTCCCAGTGAGACTTGCCCTGACCTCTCTGTCCAAGGGGTCAAACCCCACTCCCACCCCCACCACACACACACACACACACACACACATACACACACACTCAGGCCCTTTCTCTTCTCCTGTTGAATGTTTGTTGACACCTTTTATCAACATCTGACTCCTGTGTGCTCTCTTTATTTTTTTCCCCATTATCTGTCTCCCCTGCCATTGGTTTCATCGAGATAGGAATGTGTCACTCTCTTTCATGGCTGTCCCCCCAGTGGCTAAAACAGTGCTCAGCGCACAGTAGGTGTCCAATAGATACATCCTGAATGAATTAATCAATAACTGTTATCACGGAGCCTGGCGCATAGTAGGTGCACAAGAAATGCTTGCTGAATGAACTAACGAATGGCAACATTTAACGTGGGGCCTAGCACACAGTAGGTGCTCAGTTCATGTCAGACGTTATTAGTTAGTCTCATCTGGGACAGGCCCTGACCGCATCACTAAGCTTCTGGCAGCCTCTCACTAAGGAAGCACAGATTCGTTCTCTGAGAGGGCACCCCGATACTCATGTTAATGGCTGGGGCCTGGGGGCCGGGAAAGTTTTGGCTCAAGTGGAAGCAGGGGTGTGGGGGGGAGGCAGGGGTGTGCTGGGAGGGTGTGCACAGAGTCCTCCGGATTTGAGAGCCGTCACACAGCAGAACGGACAGATCCCCTCTAGGGACCTCAGTCTCTCATCTGCACCGCACGGGGGAGGGGCACCCCCTTCCCTCTCCCCACCCCTCAGCCCCATAATAATAAGATCCAACACCCGTTCACTCTGCACGCCAGCCCCTGGGGTGGGGGCCTCTCACCCTGCTTTCCAGTTGAGGAAAGTGAGACACAGAGATTTGGATGCTCGCTGTGGGGGGGGGGGCATGACAGACCCCGAGACGGCTCCTGCCCACTGGGATACCCTGCGATTCACCCAAGTGAATGGACGGGGCTTGGAGTGGTTCTGGTCCAACCATGTGGTCCGGGTGGAGAGAGGGAGGGAGGAGAAGGGGCTGGGCAGCAGCAAGAACAGATGGCTGCCGTGTTTTCCAGTCCTGCAGGGCCTGACCTCCCTGGAGCCCCCCGTCATGACCCCCCCAGAGCCCAGCACCACAGAGTCCCCGGAACCCCCCGTCACGACATCCCCGAAGCCCCCCATCACCACCTCCCCCGGGGCCATCCCAGAGCAGGCCTCCACCCGCAGCCCCAGGGGTCCTGGCCTCGTGCCCCGGAACAGCTCCACCAGGCCCTGCCTCCCGGAGATCCACCAGCTGTCAGCAGCAGGGAGCTTGGAGCTGCTGTGCGAGGTGGTCTGCGGCCCAGGCGTGGCCGTGCGCTGGACCCGGGCCCCTGGCGGGCTGGCGGCCTACGAGACGCAGGAGGTGGGGGCCCGGGCTTGGCTGAGCGGCGGGAGCGTGCTGTGGGCCAGATGCCACGGTGAGGGCTGGTTCCAGTGTGGCCTGGACCCAGGGGGCCAGACGGCCAACCTGTACGTGGCCTCAGAGATCTGTGAGTTCAGGGGCTGGGGCGGGCACTGGGGGAGCCTGAGAGGGAAGGGAGCCTTGAGTCTGGCCTTAGACAAGGGGGGCCCTGCCAGCCTGTGTCCCCAGCTGTCCAGTGGACTTCCGTGACCCTATAAGATCACAACTGCCTGCATGGCGATAACTAAGTTTCAGGGACTGTGTAGGTGTCACAGCACTCTATGGGCTAAGACAGCCTGTGGAATAGAAACAGAAATAGAAGGGAATTCCCTGGCGGTCCAGCAGTTAAGACTCCGTGCTTCCACTGCAGGGGGCGCAGGTTTGATCCCTGGTCTGGAAACTAAGATCGGTGTGGCGTGGCCAAAAAAGAAAAAAAAAAAAAAAAAAAAGTAGAATACAGCCACTTTGGTAATTTCCGTTTTTCTGGTAGCCACATTCAGGAATAAAAAGGTAAAATAAGTTTGACAATATATTTCATCGAAACCAATATATCTCAGACGTTATCATTTCAACATGTAATCTATAAAGAAGCATGAATGAGATTTTTTTTTTCCAAACTAAGCCTTCAGAATGCAATGTGTGTTTTACAAAGACAGCGCTGTCCACTCAGACTGATCACATTTCAAATGCAGCTGTGCTGAGTGGTCCCTCACTGGACAGCTCACTTCTAACTCCAAGGTCCTATGTACCTTTCAAAAGACTCACTCTAAAAATAGCTGGATAGTCCAGTGATTTTTATACATTTCAGAAGGCGTTTTAAACCGTGAGGTCCTTTGTAAAATTTCAGGGAACTCGGTCAGTCCGGGAGCCCTTAGCCGACTCTGCTGGGCTGCTCCCCAAACCTGCAGAGAGGTGCAAGACACCGTATGCCTCTCTCTCCAGGCTCCCCGCTAACGTCTGCATACCTGTGGACGGGCAGCTTTGTTCTGGGGCTGCTTCTCCTGGTGTTCCTGACCTACCGCCTGTGGAAACGCTGCCGGCCCACCAGATGACCTGGGCCCCTGCCCCTCCTGGACCACACGGAGGGGGATTTTCCTTCCACTCAGTTGCGACCAGAGGATGTTTGCAGGGTTCTGGACAGCAGGGGGGCTGACCGTGCACCCCTTACCCTGATGGCCAGCACATCCAGGCTCCCCAGCTGGCTGGGCTTCCCTTCAGTGGGGACCCTGGGGAGCCGCCACCCCCACCCACCCCCACGGTGCAGAGCTGGAGAATAAAGAGCATCTGGTCTGACCTCGGTGGTTCCTGTCGCGGTCTGAGGACACGGGGAATCCCCGGCACAGCTCCAACCATCCTCTGCTCTAGGTGACTCACCAGACAGACAAGGAAGGACAGGACACCTCAGCCCCATGTGGCCAGGGGTGGGGGTAAGAGGCGTGTGCTCTTCCTGGTGCCTTTCCCTGCATATGGGGACACTGGCGCTTCATGAGTAACTAGGAGTCCTCAAAAGAAGCGGAGAAAAGTGTTGGCGGACAGCACGGGCAAAGACACAGAAGAGAGGTGGCTTGATAAGGGAAATTGCATCTCTTTTGGGGTGGCTGGAGGCTAAAGCGTGGGGAGAGGCGAGGGAGAGGCTGGAAATGATACCGGCAGATGAAGGGCTGTAGATGCCAGGGTCGTCAGCCTTGTGGAACCGAGGAGCTCTGGGAGAGTTTAGAGCTATAGAGGATGCGGGGTGAGAAAGTTCCCTCTAGTGGTAAGGAAAGGTAACAGCCTGGGACGGGGAACTGGGGACCGTGGGTGGTCCACTCGCTCTGTGAACCCGTACAGCGGACTAGGGGCCGCGGAAGCGCAGACCAGACCCCTAACCCAGCCTGGTGGGGAGAGGGGGCCTTTCCCCACGAGGTGAGCTACAAACTCGCACGGAGATTGGGTTAGGCTGAAGACCAAGCTGAGCACAAAGGCTCTGAGTTGAAAATCAGAAAAGGGGGCGGGAGCGGCGCTTAGTCCCGGAGTTGGGGTGGAACCATCCCGCCCGCTCTCAGCAGGGCTTCCCTGGTAACCAATGAGACCGGTTGCTAGGGGACCATGCTAATGAAGGACTCGCCCACTACCAAGATGGCAAGCAATCCGGCTTCATACCAGAAACCAAGCCCTTCCTAGGGATCCATTTTGGAGTCTGGCAAAATTTAAGTTCCGAGCCTAAGCCAGGAAAGCCAACCAGCACACCCAAAGAGGAAAACGGAGAGAGAGTAAGTGCCAATGAAAACCTAGGGAAAAAGGTGGCCTGCGCTGGTTATTTCCCAGAGTCTCCCCGCGGGATCCGAGCGCCCTCTGCCCTCAACAAAAATGGCCGCCCCGAGGTGCCAGCGCACTGTGAAATATGGACGTCCTTCCGGTCCCGCTGCCCTCAGCGAAGATGGCGGCAGTGGAGAAGCGGCGGCCGCCTGTGGCCCAGGCAGCCAATTTCACAGGCAGCGGCCGGCCGGGGGTGTCCCGAGCAGCGGCGACGGCCGAGAGTGAGGAGGACTTCCTGCGGCAGGTCGGAGTGACGGAGATGCTGCGCGCGGCCCTGCTGAAGGTGCTGGAGGCGCGACCCGAGGAGCCCATCGCCTTCTTGGCGCACTACTTCGAGAACATGGACCTGCGGTCTCCTGCAAACGGCGGCGCCGGGGAGCCCCCGGGCCAGCTCCTGCTGCAGCAGCAGCGCCTGGGCCGCGCGCTGTGGCACCTTCGCCTGGCTCACCACTCCCAGAGGTGCGGGGCTGGGCCGGGCCTGGGTGGGTAGGGGCCGCGGCCGGACTTCAACTCCCAGCGGGTTCCGCGCGGCTCCCCGCCCCCGGCGCCGGCTCTCGAGCGCGGGCCGTGGTGGGAACTGTAGTCCGCTCTGCCTGGCGCGGGAGGGGCGCGGATGGCTCCGGGCTGCAGGGCCCCGGCGGGGCTACCCGAGTGCTGGCACCAGTAGCTCTGGCAGACTTGGGCTTTGGTGATGCCTCTTTGCAGGTGCTGAGGTCCCCCTTGCATCTACCTCACTTTTGAAAATCATGGAGCCCAGACAGGACTTGGCCAAGATCTCAGAGCCAGTCCTCCGAGCCAGGTCCCTCCTAGCTGCCTCGTTCCCAGCGTGGTAGCATCCCCGACCATTCAGCCAGAAAATGAATATTTACAGGGCTGGACCGTGGAGATAGAGAGCAATCCAGGTCCCGCGCGGGCAGGAGAGACGTTCAGTAAGGGGCCTGCATTGACACACAGGGAAAGGTGTTGCAGGCACGAGGCCACCGGCTGCACTGGCCTGGAGGCTGTGGGGCTGCAGTGTGCGACCCACGGGAGAGGGGGAGGCCGGGAGCCTCCGCAGGGCTGAAGCATGGAGGGGTGGAGGGGATGGCGCCTGCCCCCTAACCCCCTTAGAAGCGGGTGAGGGAATGGTCCGTGTCAGGTGGCTGGGGAGGAGCTGTTTGACGCGCAGCATCCACCAGACAAGGTGGGCGCTGGATGTGGGTGGGATGGGTCTTGGATGGGGGTGGTCCCCAGAGAGCCCAGGAAGGGGGAGGAAGCCCAGCAAGGGAGCGTTTCAGCCTGACCCCAGCACCCTCCTGCCTGGGGGCAGCCCTCCCGAGAGAGTCAAGGTGCGGACCCCAAGCAGGGGAGCACAGAGAGGCTGGGAGGGAGCCGGAAGGGGTGTGGAGAACGGGCATCCCATTCGGAGCACCCGGTCTCCACCGCAGGGGAAGGGCAAGCGGGTTGTCCAAAGTGACAGCCAGAAAAGGGAACGGCCAGGGCCACCCCTGAGATGGGGACCTGGCAGGGAGCGGGCTGGTGGGCATCCATGGGTTCTGCTGGGTCTGCAGGGGGTTGTGCAGGAACAGCCCCAGGTGGTCCATGAGATAGGAGGTCACTGGTTTGGAGGAAGTTTCCAGAGTGACTTGGGGACCGTTAAGTTGGGAGCTGGGAAAACCTCGAAGCAGGAAGGTGGACAGTTGGGTCGGCAGCTGAGATGCGTGACGGTGCAGGGTGGTTGTCACCTGGTGGCGGGGGGCGGGGTGGTTGTGAAGGCCTCAGGGGAGCTGAGAAGAGCCCAGGACCCGATTCTGAGGAGCCACAGCCTCAGCGAACCCACAGGAAAGCGTGAGAAGGCAGAACAGACATGAAGGAGGGAACCAGAAGACAGGGAACCAGGACATCTTCCAAGGAGGAGAAGAGTCAGCGGCAGGGTCACCACGTGCAGTCGTGCAGGTCAAGCACTGCACAAGCCGTTCACTCCTTAGACGTCACAGACGAGGACCTTTATGTGAAGGCTTTTTGCAGAGCTTTGCCTAGTTTATGCAAAGGCACCGGCCCTGCGTCCAATGGCCCTAGAGATGAGGGCTGAGAAGTGTCTGTTGGATTTAGAACCAAGGGGGCCATTTGAGTGTCCTGGGGCTGCCGTAACCAATTACCACAAACTTGGTGACTTAAAACAACAGAAATTTATTCTCCCACAGTTCTGGAGGCCAAAGTCCAAAGTCCGGGGGCAGCAGGGCTGTGCCGTCTCTGGAGGCTGTAGGGGAAGGTCCTTCCTGCCTCCTCCAGCTTCTGGAAGCTCCAAGCATCCTTGGCTTGTGGCCGCATCCTCTCAGCCTCCGCCTTGTCTTCCCGTGGCTTCTCTTCTGTGTCACTCTCTCAAAAGGACACTTGGCATTGGTTTTAAGGCTACCTCACCCCACCTCCAGACCCTGAACTAATTACATCTTTCAAAGACGCTGTTTCCAAATAAGGTCCCACTCACAGGTTCCGGGTGGATGTGCACCTGGGGGGACACTGTTCACCATACTGAAGGGGTGTTGGAGTGGTTCTCAGGAGGAGCAGAGTGAGTGGCCGGTGCTGGTGGCACACCTGGTCTCCCCGAGGCGGGGCTGGTGCTGAACTCAAGAGATACGTTCCCAGTCAGGAGCCCCATAACCTCGGCTGCCGGGTCAGAAGCAGAAGCCAGGCCAGGCGGGTCCCCCCGAGGCTGGGCAGCTTCGTCCCTATGCTGAGGGGTGGGCTGGGGAATCCCGGGGCTGCTCTTGAGAGCGACCTCAGCACGAAAGATTTGGGGAGAACTCAACCAAAATCCCCTCTGCTGTTGTCTCGAAATCACACGTGCTGGCTGCTAGGACTGGTGACGGCCCTCAGAGCACAAACACAGCAGACCCGGCATGGTGGCCCAGGGCCGCCTTCTAAGCCACCACGTGCTAATAGGAACAGCAAGAGTGCCAACCGCTGCAGGTCCCCGTGGCCCCAGAAAACATGCAAAGGCACCAAAGGGTCTGAGCCAGTGTCCTCGGCTCCGAGCATCCTCTGTGGGGTGTCCCGGGCTCTGTGGGGTGTGGAGCGGCCTCCCTGCCCCCACCCACGCGATGCCGGGAGCCCTCCCCATTGTGACAAGCACAGACGTCCTCAGACATCACCCAGTGTCCCCTGGGGGCAGAATCTTCCCAGACAAGACCCCCCCAGATTATGGGATTCCACGGACCCCCCAGGAGACTACGTCCCGTGACCGTCTGACCTCTGAGGTCTGGAATGCTGCACACATTTAAATACACACCTGAGTGGGAGGGAGGGGAGCTGACCCACAGACACTGGGGGCCACCCTGGTTCACACCACCTGACTCAGTGGGAATGTATGCAGGCCTCTGGCGTGAGCAGGGAGAGGACCCAATTTCTTTCCAAACAATTAACCAGAGTCACTCCTCAGCACTGCTAACACAGGGGGAGCGCGGTCACTCTGTGCTGGGCCGTCCTGGGCCCTGCAAGTGTTGGGCAGCCTCCTGGGTCTCCACCCACCCAGTGGTGGCAACCATAACTGTCCCCAGAGTCACCAGTGTCCCTTGGGGGCAGAGTCACCCCGTTGAGAGCCCCCGGTCTACCTTGGAAGTCTCCACGTCTCTGTGACAAGACCCGTAAATAGGTTCTTTTTTAACAAATGCCCACGTGCTTTGCAAACTGCTCTGTGCGGGAGCTGATACAGGCAGAGCCTGAGGACCACAGCCCAGGACGGCAGGCGGTGTGGGTGCTCCCTCGTGGCTGGGAGCCCCCGGGAGGGCGGCCTTGAGATGGGGTGTGGCCTTCCTCTGGCTTCTTGCCTGACGCTCTCATCTCACTGGACCGTAACTGCCCCCCTGTGCGTCTTCCTGCCCGCGAGGCCCATGGTAAACAGAACCTGGACAGCGCTGAATGGCAGCTGGTGACAGCTAATGACAGGCGCACAGGGTCCCCTGCCACACGCCGAGCACAAAATCTACCCTCTGTCCTCCCAAGAATCCTGAGACGCAAGGACGAGAACCCTTATTCTCCAGAGGAGGGAAGCAGGGCGCAGTGGCTAGAACCGGTGCAGGTCTGGGCCAGCCAGGAACAGCTCTGAGCACACAGGGTGCTCAGGGGTCCCCACACGCTGCCGCCTCCGGGGGGATTGATTCAGCTCAAGACAACTAGTGGGTCGACCAGGTTCCTTGGGGAGGCATCAGGCAGAGCTGGGCGGATGGTGGACGCTCAGGCCCCATCAGGATGAGCCATCAGGCCACAGGGACACACCCAAGACCTCAGTGGCCTCACACGGCTGCTGTTGGGTTGGCAGGGGCTCTGCTCACTCAGCCTTGCGGGGAGTGGACCCTCCACGGGAAGTGGGCCATGCTCTCGTGGGGGTGGGGCGGCCTGCCTTCAAGACACCCCCGAGATCCACCCCGCCCCCCGTATTCACACCCTCGGGCAGCTGCCTGCGTTGCCACCCTGTCGGTCACCCGCTCCAGGGGCCAGTGCCGTAACCTTAGCACACTCACACTGCCCCGTGGGGAGAGGCCTCCGCAGGGAGCCTTCAGGGGACAGCAGCCCTGCCAGGGTCCTGGTTGAAGACTGAGCCGGGACCACCAAGCCAAGCCATTCCCAGTTCCTGACTCAGGCTGCGACGTGATCTAGGTGTGGGGGTAACTGCCACGCGGCCACAGAGTTGACACGGGCATCATCACTGCCAGGTCCCCCGGACCCACGCGTCCTGGTGAAAGGAGTTGATAACAAAAGCTCCTGCAAGGGGTTATTGTGAGGCGGCAGCAGCTAACACGGTGCCAGTCCTGGGAACGGGAGCATGACGCCGCGTCTGGCACCCCCAGCGCTTCACGGAGTGATCTCACTGGCCCTAAAGCACCAGCACATCCTAAGGACCCAAGAAGTGAGAAGTGAATCCCAGATGGGCGGGACCCCAGGTCCTCCCCCCTCCCCTCTGGGCCTCAGTTCCTCCTCTGTAAAGGGCCTTGACCCACGGAGCTCACTGGGTGAGCATGTCCATCCCTGGGCCCTGCCCTGGGCACCTGCCGTGCTCCGGCCCAGCGTGGACCGGGCTCACACCCACGCTGACCCGTACAGGTCCCACAGATAAGAGTGGAGCTGGGCTCCCAGAAAAGGCGAATGTGAGCCCTGGGGGTGCCCCTTCCTCTGTGGGACCCTTGGCCTGGCCGCTGCCCTGAGCCTCACTTCCCCTTTGCTTTAGTGGAGATGGAACTGGGCCTCGGCTGGCCGCCAGCTGTTGAGAGAAGGATGGGAATGAGACCCGGGTTATCTAGATGCCCAGGCTCACCCCAGCCCACTCACTTAACCACTTGTGAGGCTCCAGCGTGGCCAGGGCTCGTGGTGGGACATCAGGGGTCTCATGGGGCAGGCGGTAAGTAATGTCAGCGCCGTGGCTGGTCCCTGACGTGACCGTCGGGTCTGCTGTTGCAGCAGAAGGGCAGCATGTCTGGGTTGACGTGGCCGCCTGCGGATAAACCTTTACCCACGAAGACAGGCGGCAGCGGCTTTGAGCCACCGTGTGGGTTACTGCCTCTGGGCCTGCAGGGGTGAAAAGAGACAACCCAGGTTAAAAGGTAGGGATGTGTCCTGCCACGGTGACACCCCGTGGGCACACACATCATCGATGGAATGGAGAGTCCATGGGCGGATGCCCATCGTCGGGGTCAGCAGACGTTTCTGGGGCTCCTGGGCAGTGTTCTGGGCGCTGGGGCTGTAACAGTGACCAACAAATAAACTCCCTGACATAGGCCCCTGGGCTGAGCTGGTGGGAGGGAGGGAAGTCGTGAGGACACCACAAAGAGAAGTACAGGAAGGGGTTAGGGGGTCAGGGAGGGTCCCCCCCATAAGGTAACATTGAGCAAAGGCTCAAAGCCGTGGGGAGATGTGGGGGAGGGCGCTCCAGGCCAGGGCGCCGCTGGCGCAAAGGCCCTGAGGCTGGACGAGCCGGCGCGTTGGGGGAGGGGCCGGGGGGCAGGGGCGGGGCTCTGGCGCGGCCCGACGGCCCCTCCGCCCGCAGGACCGCCTTCAACAACAACGTCGGCGTGGCCTACGAGTGCCTGAGCGCCAGCGGGCGCAAGAAGAAGCCGGGGCTGGACGGGCGCACGTACAGCGAGCTGCTGAAGCGCATCTGCCGGGACGGGGAGGCCCCCGAGGAGGTGGTGGCGCCGCTGTTGCGCAAGATCCAGTGCCGGGACCACGAGGCCGTGCCGCTGGCCGTGTTCCGCGCGGGGATGCTCACCTGCTTCGTGCTGCTGGAGTTCGTGGCGCGCGCCGGCGCCCTCTACCGGCTGTTGGAGGACCCGGGCCTGGCCGTGGCTGACCGCCACGTGGGCCAGGCCGTGCTGGACACGCTGGAGGGGGCCCTGCAGGCCAGCGACGACACCACGCCCGCGCGCTACCTGGAGGCTGGCTCGCGCCTGGGGCCCGACAGCCTGGCGCTGGCCATGGACCGCGCGCTGGTGGCCCGGCGGCCCAGCACCCCCATGACCCGGGAGGAGTTCCTGGAGAAGGCGGCCGCCCTCTTCATCGCCAAGGTCAAGCCCGTGGGCTGAGCCCTTCCCTCGGCCGCCGCTTCCTCCACCCGGATACCTGGGGCCCTCGGGGTCCGGCTCATCGGGGCCAGGACTGGGGTGTCCCTGCATGCCAGGGGTGCAGGGAGCCCCCTCACCCAGCTTCCCGCCTGGAATGATGCCCAAGCCCCTTCGGGGGGAGACCAAGGATCCCTTCCCGCCTGCCTGCCCAGGCCCCTCTCCTCAGCAGAAATAAAAATCTGTTCCCCAGGCTGACCTGGTGTGTGTGTGTGTGTGCACCCGTGTCCAGCCCCCAGCACGCTTCTCTGGAAACGCTCTCCACTCGGGCGCACCCTGGCCAGCCCCAGCGGGTCCCACCACTGCCCAGAAACCCCAGGGAGCCCCTGGACTCAGCTTTATGAGAGCAGAGGGCACTGGGGCACCCAGCGAGGTGCCCTGCAGGCACAGCCCCGAGACCTGGGAGGCATGGCTGGCCCCCAGCCTGCCCTCCACGAGCGCCCCGCCCCAGCAGTTCCTCCCTGGACCTCGGCTTCCCCAACCGCCAAAGGGAGAGGTCAGCTAGGCAGGTAGTCACGATGGTGACGATTGAAACAGCTAACACGTCTGAGACCTGACAATGTCTTGACTCACCGCCGCCCTATACGGAAGGTAATCCACTGCCCGCATTTGGCAGATGGAGAAACCAAGCCCAGAGGAGTGAAGGTCGCAGCACCAGCAAGGGGCCAGTAGGGATCCGAACCCGGGCCCGCGCTCTGTAACCCAGAGCCACAGCCCCTTCACCACCGCCACGGGGCCCGTCCGGGATCCAGGCACACCCGTTAGAGTCACCAAGCACCCTGGGTGTCCCCCTTCCCGCCAGCAGGAGCACATCCTGGACGGAGGATTCCGCAGGAAGCAGATTCCCAGCCCAGGACAGTTGCAGGCGGGTAACTTCACTCTCGGCCTCAGTTTCCTCCTCTGTTAAATGGGACCCAGGGCACCCCGATTCTGATTGAGGGAGATCACACGGGGACAGAATCTAAAGCCTTTTTCGAGCTACCAATGGCAGGGACCACCTTGCCTCCCCTTTCCCAGCACCTGCCCTTGGCTGGTAATCGATAAACCAGTGAGTTGCGCTGTGTTTTCCAAAAGCCGCCAGGGCTTCCTTTCTGTTCCCGTTTGCTCTTCTTGAATCTCCCAGCCCCCTAGAGAGGCAGGTAAGAGGTGGAATCTGCATCCCCTCTCCTTGCACTTGGTGGCTTTTGTGACAGTACTTGGCTTCCAGGGGATGCGGTGGCCACGCAGTAGCCTGAGGAAGCACAGGCCACACAGAGGTTCCTGACGGGAGACTCCTGCTTTGCAGCTAAATGAATGAATGTTACTATTTCAAGCCACGAAGTTTGTGGGTCATTTGTTACACAACTAGTAGCTTCACAAAGGTGCCCCCCTCCCTCAGCATTAGCTGTTACTGACACCGCACACAGGAAATGGGCCGGCGTGTCAGCAGGCTGAGACCCTTAGGGGCTGGACGGCCTCGGGGAGCAAGCTGTGCTGAGGCCCCTGCGGCATGGGGCTTGCGGCCGGGCAGGGCATCTGCATGAAATGCGCGGTGCAGGTGGACTCACGGGCTCCGGCAGCCTCCGGTCAGCTCTGTGGTCCCCTGGACTAGGCAGCGTGTGGCAGGTGTCACTGGTGCCACCAGATCCCCTTCCCATCTGCCGAGGCTCACAGCTGCCCCACCAGAGACCAAGCCATGTGGCCCAGGAGGCCTCATCCCCCCATCTGGGGCAGGAGTGGCCAATGACCACCAGGGGATCCAAGAGCTGGTCCGCTTGCCTCATGGGACGCTAACTCACATGCCAGGGTCCCCCCCGGATCAGGCTGAGGCCAACTCCATCTGGGGTCACCTTCCCTGCCCCACCACCTTCCCTCACTGCCACCCCTGAGTCACCATCACGCCTGGTCTTGGATCCTGAATTCCTGGTTTGACCTTTACAGGCACAGCCTGGAGGGGCTGAGCTGTTCTGCTTATCTGACCTCACAGCAGTGTGGACACTCGGCCTCCCTGCCTTCCAAACCCCGCGCCCCCATAGCGTTCACTCCACAGCACCCCGAAGGCTCCTGTTCCCCAGCTTCCCTGGGGAAAGGCGTCCTCCTTCTGTGTCAGGGACCTCTCCTCTCCTTTCCTCATGCTTCCTCCTCACTTGGCATCTCATCCAGGCCATGGCTTCCATTACTGCCTGGTCACCAAGGAGTCTCAAATTCACATCTCAGGCCCAGCCCTGCTCTGCTCCAGCCCTGGGGAGCCAACCACTTGCTGGGCGTCTCCTCAGGGACATCCCAAGGACATCCCAGGCTTGCCACATCCAGGACGGAGCCTCCGGTCAGCCCCCCTGACCCTGGGGCTCCTCTGGAGTCTGTGGTCTCCGAGGAAGCCCCCAGTCCACCCAGGACCAGGGCTCAGCCTGGATGCCTCCCCTGTCCCCCCAGCTGGCCCTTCTCTGCATCCTGTAGGTTGCACATCATAGCTTCATCCTGCCTGCGCCTCCCCACACTGGTCCAGCCCTCATCCTCACTGCCCTGGGCGACCCCACCAGCCAGTAGGAGTGCTCCAGGCACCCTGGCCTCAGTGCTTGGAACAGCACGTGACTCCCAGCTGGCCAATGAGATGCAGCCCTGGGACTTTTTCTGGGGTGGCTGAGCTGGGAGGACCTGGGCCTGGATCCTGGAGCCATCTGGTCACCACAAGGCCTGTGAACACAGTGAGCACTCAGGAAAGCTGAGCAGAGAGACTCTCCCCAGATTTTTTCCTTGACTCTGTCCCCTCACTCTGCCCCAGGCACACTGGTCTCTAGCTGGTCCGGCTTGTCCCTACCTCAGGCCTTTGCACGCACTGTTCCCTTTCCCTGTAACACTGCTCCTCCACACCCAAGGGGCTCACCCCATTCTGGTCCCCACTCAGATGCCACCTCCTGAGAGGCGCCTCCCCTGAGCCCCTATCCGAGATAACTCTCCGGCTCCACTCCCGTTGCTAATGCCTCACTGTCCTTTACTTTTCTTCAATTATTGCTATCAGAAGTTGCTTACTTATGTCCTTTCTCCCTGTCTCCCCAAGGGGAGGGATTTTTACATATTTTATTCACTGCTGTACCCCCAGCACCTAGATTTGTCTGTGGAAGGCCATGAATTAATTAATCAATTTTCCAGAGGAAGACTCTGACGCTCATAGAAGCGAGGGTATTCAGTTCCTGTAGCTGTCATAACAAACCACTGCAAAAACAAAACAACACAAAACAACAACAACAACAAAAACCTCAGAAAACCCCACGACAACACAAGTTCATTATCTTACAAGTCTACATTTGAGGACCATTTCCAAGTTCATGGCAGACCTAGATTTGAATTGAGGGCTCTTCTGTCGCACGTGATGGAAGGCTCAACTCAAACTGGCTTAATAAGAAAAGAAGTAATTTATTGACTTGCACCATTGCAAGGGGAGGCCAGGCATGGCTGGATCCAGGAGCACAAACAGGGTCTTCAGCACTTTCTCATCAGTTGGCTCAGCTTTCCTGAGCGCCAACTTTGTTCACAGGCCTTGTGGTGACGAGATGGTCCTATAGCTCCAGGTCCAGGTTCTCCCAGCTCAGACATCTCAGCAGCATCGTGTCCCCAGAAAAAGGCCAAGTCACGTGCTATTCCTGAACCAACCAGGGGGCCTAGGGTACTCTGATTGGAGGAGCCATGCCTGCAGCCAGGGCTTGACGATCAGTCCAACTGGAACCTTGCAGACTAAGAGTGGTAGCCCCATGGGAAAATGGAGGTGCTTTGGCCAGAAAATGGGCAGGTAGAAACCCCAGACGTCCACCACCTCAGGATGTTTCAGAGCCTGAGGTGCAGGCTTTCCTGGGGGACAAGGCCTCATGTGGGACCAGCTGGAGGGGCCACAAACCTGGTACCTCTCTTTACATTTCCAGGGCTGCCCCCACTCACCCAATAACTCCTGCGATAACTCCTGTGGGGTGTACGCAGGGAGACATCTTGGGACACTTCTCTGGAAGAATCATAATTAATTCTAACTATTATTCATCAACAAGCTGCCACACAACATCTTGGGAAACTTCTCTGGAAGAATCATAATTAATTCTAATTATTATTCATCAACAAGCTGGCACACGACATCTTGGGAAACTTCTCTGGAAGAATCATAATTAATTCTAATTATTATTCGTCAACAAGTGGCCACAGGCCGAGGCTATGACACTGGTGCTATGGACAGAGAATGAGGGGCAGAAAATGAGGGACAGAGAACGCTTGGAACAGTGGACAAACGGGTGTGCAATCCACTTTATAGATGACGGGCCCCTCCAGGTCCCTCGGGGTGCAGGGCAGAGCCCCCTTACTGATGAAGCTGCTGCTATGCCCAGGGCTTTCTCAGACTCCTTCCATCCCCACAGATGATATATTATTTTCCTTCCCCAGACGGGTTTACCTGTCTGTCCTCAGCGGGGGACCAGCCCAGGGCCAGGTGTCGGGGCAGCCAGGGGAGGAAATCAGCTCAGCTCAGCCCGAGGTGTTGGTGCAACTGTTGGCTGCCCGGGTCACCTGCCAGCAAGGCCACCACAGGCCTCGAGTGCCACGCCCACCCTCGTGGGGAGCTGTCACCTGCGGACGTGCAGGGATGGAGGCCAGGCCCCATCCCAACTCTCCGACCCAGAGCTGTGCGGGTGTCCGGGCCCGGGGCGCGGCCAGGTCAGCGCTCTGGCAGGGTCCGGGTGAAGCCCAGGGTGGGGTCAAAGGTCGGCCTGAGACGCGGGCACAGCCAGGGAGGGTCAGGGCTCTGGTCTGGGGTTCGGCCAGGACGAGTGCCGAGTCCACGCTGCAGAGGCGTGCCAAGTGGGGAGGGGCTGCGAGCGGCGGGACCCTCCTGGCTCCAGCGCCCCCGGGGAAACTGAGGCTCCGGATAGCTCCGACCCGGCCCCGCCCCGCGACGAGACGTCACAAAAAGGCCACAAAAGCGCGGCGGGCCGAGCCGGGCGGCGCAGCGCAGCCCTGCCCGCGGCCCCGCGCACAGGGGTCCCGGCCGCTCGTCCGAGCTGGGGCGGCAGCGGCGGCCTCCCAGGGTGTCGGGAACGGCAAAGGGCCTACGGGCGCAGCCCCCGGCTCCCGGCGGCGCGCTCGGCGGCAGTGGTAGGGATCGCTTCCCGGCGTGCCCCGCGGAGGGGCGCGCAGGCGCGGTCAAGGCGGGCGGAGCGCAAGCGCGGGCGGCGGGGGCGGGGCGCGGAGGCTGAGGTGAGCGCCGGGCGGCGGTGCAGAGCTACTGGAGCGCCCGGCGGCTCCGGGCGGTGGACGAAGAAGGAGGCCCCGGCCCCTGCCCGTCCCGTGCCCCCACGGCCCCGCGGCCCCAAGCGCCCCCGGCCCCGGCCCCGTCCGCCGCCACCATGGCCCGGCCGCTGGTGCCCAGCTCACAGAAGGCCCTGCTTCTGGAGCTCAAGGGGCTGCAGGAGGAGCCGGTGGAGGGCTTCCGGGTGACCCTGGTGGACGAGGGCGACCTGTACAACTGGGAGGTGGCCATCTTCGGGCCCCCCAACACCTACTACGAGGGCGGCTACTTCAAGGTGAGCGGCGGGGTCAGGGGGCGGCGACCCCCTCCTCCGGCTCCTCGGGGCCCCTCCCCCACCTCTGCCCCCTGCCCCCGTCCTCTCCCCTGGTGGGACCCGTTCTCACTGTCTCTCCTCCTCACGGGGTTCCTTCCCTCTCCCTCTTCTCCTCGCGGGGCCCCCATCCTCTGTCCCTCCTCCTCCCGGGGCCCCTTCCTTCTGCCCCGCTGCCTGACCGCCTCTGGCGAGCTAGGGGCCCTCGGTCAACCCCTCTGGCCCTAGGAGTCCCCGAGAAGCGCCTCTTCCCTCTAAGGCCGCTTCATGTCCCCAGAGGGGAGGCCCGGGACCCTCCCTGTTTCTCTGGGTGCGGGGCCTTTGCTTCCCCCAGCCTCTGGTGCCCGTCCCCCTCCTCCTGGCCCTGCCCGCTGCCCGGAGCGGACAAAGAGGCCTCCCCAGAACCAGCCAGCACTGTTGGGAGGGAGGGAGGCCCCCCGCCTGGGGGCTGGCTCGGCCACTGGCTCGGGTTCCAACAAAGGCCCGGATGGGGCTGGCAGCCGGGACCTGCTTGGAAAGCGGCCACCTGGCCGATAGCAGTGGGCCAAGCCCTCTGGGCTTCATCCTGAGCCTTACGTAACGTGTTCTGTCCGGCCGTCGCTCCCACCCTCAGCCCTGTCCCCGGGAGCCACAGCACAGAGCCCACCCAGGCCCGGCCTCAGAAGCGTAGGCTCTTCTGTGCCCCGGCTGGCCTTTCTCAGGTTCCTCTGAGCAGGCGGCTTCTTGGGCCCCACGTCTCCTGCCCTGGGTCGCTTCTGGGCGCTCTGTGAGCGGGGAGGCCAGGGCTGTCCCGGGGACCGGCTGTGTTTCTGACAAGTGTGACGAGGACTCAGGCCAGTACCTGGACAGGATATGAGTCCAGATGTGGTGTTGGCAGGACCCCTCCCAGATCAAAGAACTTTGCTCCTCGAGCCAGACGGACAAGACAGGGGGTCTCCTTGTAAGAGAAGCGGAGCCTGGGCCCTCAGCTGGAACACCCCCAATGCCGCCTGCCAAGAGCCCAGTGGCCAGGCTGGGAGGCCCGGGCGGTGGCGGGGCGGGGCTGGCACTGCCCGGACAGATGTCTGTGTTTGCAGTTTTGGCTAACATTTTAGCCACGCCTGCTCAGGGGCCGGGAGGGGGCAGGCTGGCCTGCTGGGGTGATTCTTGAGTTGAGATTCCCTTGTTGCTGGGGTGGGATGGGGGGATGAGCATGGACAGCCCTGGGCTGAGTTCTGATGTGGAATCCGTCTTCCCCGTGCAGGACATGGATTGGGGGCTGGTCCCCAAATGGTTTAACCAACCCTCGTCCCTGAGCCTCTTTTGTCTGCATCTGGGAGCTGTTGGCTGTGAGGATAAGGGCCCCACTCAGAGCTGGAATAGCATGAGTCCCACCCTGAGGCCAGGCCGGGACTCTGAGCAAGGGTGCTGGACTGGAAGGAAAGGAAAGGACGTGGGTTTCTGGCTACTGCCCACTGTTTGCAAGGGATTGTGGGTAGGACCTTCCAGGCTGGCTTTGGGGGGATGATCCTGTTATTCTAGAAACCTGGGCTAGGGAGGGGCGCCACAAATCTGATCGCGTTTGCCGCGAGAGTCTGACCTCGAGGAAGGCAGCGTGGGACCCACAGTGGTTCTGCCACCCTCACATCCTCCTGTTCTGATGTGGTTGGCTGGGGAGTGGGGGGAAATATGTGGAAATACAGGGGCTGGAAGTGCCCGGGGGGGCACCATCGCTTTCCAGCACCTTCCTCTCAGCCCGCCCAGCCTCACCCCCTCCCCCTTACAAGCCAGAGGGGCTCCGGGCAGCGTGTGCTGAGGGGTGCCTCAGAGACCTGGGTTGGGGAGCCCCTCCACAGCTGCATTCTGTGTGCCCTCAGGCAAGGTGCTCTCCTTCTCTGAGCCTCAGTTGGCACAGCAGTCAAGGCATCTCTGGGACTTGATGGGTGTTTGGTGAGGGGAGGCCTGTCCCCCTCCTCCGCTAAGGAGGCCTCAGCTGGTCTCTGTCTTCACTTAGAAACGTAGCCCTGGGCTTGGCGGGACCAAGGGGCAGGGTCTGAGGCCCAAGTTCCAGACTGACTTCAGGCCTCAACACGTTCACTCCAGAACAGAGGGCCCTCCCCCGAGTGCCCCCAGCGCCCCCTGCCCAGGAGGACGATTCTCCAAAGATGGGGGGGCCTGCAGCCCCCTCTTGTCCCACGTTGGCCCCGAGAGCCTGAAGCACCATCAGGATCCCAGGACTGGGGCGTAAACAGGCGAGGCCGGGGCATAACTCTCCCTCGCAGCCCTCCCCCGTCTGCCCGTGACCTTCCCGGTTGCCTTCCTGACCCCCCAGGACTGACACCTGCGGGCAAAGAGCCTGTCCGCCTGGTGCTGACTCATCTCCGCCCCCGGCGCCTGCCCAGTGAACACCCATCTATTTTAATCCTCCCCACAGGTTGGAGACTGAGGCTGGGAGCCCAGCGCGGTGCTCGGGCACCCGGCTCCCAGGACTGGGCCCACCACGCTCCCTGGGGCCAGGGCTCTGGTCCCCCCAGAGGCCTGGGCTGGGACGGGCCTGGAGCTGCACCCCGGCGAGTGCCCACACACTCCCCCCCCCAACCCCCAGCCACTGACAGCAGGGCAGGGACCGGGGTCGTCAGCTCAGCTCGGTGACCCCGAAAAGCCCCTGGCCTGTGAGGGGCGCCGGAGGCAGGCGAGTCCCAGGCTGACTGCTGTGTGTGGTCTTGGGCGGCCTGACCCGGCCCTGGCTGAGCCTCTGCTCTCCCCCACCAGGCGCGCCTCAAGTTCCCCATTGACTACCCCTACTCTCCGCCGGCCTTTCGCTTCCTGACCAAGATGTGGCACCCCAACATCTACGAGGTGAGCCTGCTCCTCCAGGGGGCGGGGTGGGGCGGGGGGCGTGTGGACGGGAGCCTCATGGGTGCTGAACCCCCCCGTGCCACACAGACTGGGGACGTGTGCATCTCCATCCTCCACCCCCCCGTCGATGACCCCCAGAGCGGGGAGCTGCCCTCGGAGCGGTGGAACCCCACGCAGAACGTCAGGTGAGGCAGTCGGCGTCGGGCAGGCCAGCCCTGGGGACGTGGACACGGGAGGATGCAGCTCCCTGTGGGGTGGCAGCGTCTGTGGGAGCCCCCTCCCGCCAGAGCCCCCATCCCTGCCGGCCTCTCCTCCATTTCCTGCCATCCCTGCCTCACCCACCTTCAGGAATGGTCTCTGGGACTCCTGTGGCCGTGTCTGCGTGCCCCTGGGGTCCCCCCTCCTTCCTCGAGCCCCAGGGAGCACAGCCCTTCCATCCCCTGGTGCTGTGCTCACCCTGAGCGGCCCGGGCACTCTCCTCCTCCCCGGGCTGGAGCGGGAATGAGTGGCACAGGGGACCCACTCTCCAGGCAGGATGCCCCAGGGAGGGGACAGGCCTGCTCCAACGGAGGGAAGATGGTCCTGGCCTTGGCTGTCCACCATGTCCCGTCCCAGGAGCCTGGCACGCCGCAGAGGGCAGGTGGAGGGTGGCGGGCCGGCTCGGGGCATGAGGCTCCCGGGCAGGCAGCCCCTGGGCCGTGGACCCCCCACGCCGACTCTTGCCGCCTCCCCTAGGACCATCCTCCTGAGCGTCATCTCCCTCCTCAACGAGCCCAACACCTTCTCACCGGCCAACGTGGACGCTTCCGTGATGTACAGGAAGTGGAAAGAAAGCAAAGGCAAGGACCGCGAGTACACGGACATCATCCGGTGAGTGGGCCTGGGGCCTGGGGAGGCAGGGTGGCCCTCCTGAGCCCTCCCCCTCTTGCCGGAAAAGCTGGGGTCTTTCTCTCGTGAAGCGTGTGGCCCACATATGTACTATCGTGTGTGGACGTGGCGTGTGTGTGTGTGTCTCGTGTGCGTGGCATGTGGGTACATGCACCTCACACAGAGATAAACGGCCTGGTGTCCGCCAGGATCTAGCAGGGTCTTGCCACATCCTTCTGCTTTGACACTGTAAGGTCAGCGATCCCACTGGTACCCCCCATCCCCCGTGTACGCGGACCCTGCGTGCTGGGGCGTGCACGCGTGTGCGTGGTCTTTTTCCCCACGTGCTTTTCCCCACGCGGTCTCCTCCGGGACCGTGCTGTGCGGGGTGTTCCATCATTTCACCTAACGGGAGTGAATGTCGCAATTTTGAGACTTGGAGTTATTCTCTAAAGGCAGCAAAACCGTGTGGTACGAGCATGTTTAGGAGATAACTTCTTTTACGAAAAGTCAGTTTCTCCTGGTTATAAAAGCAGCGCATCACTTAGGAGTTTGCCAGGATGAACTCCTCTCATTTCTGTTGTTTTCTGTTTTTCCCCGTGAACAGGCAGGTGCCCGGCCTCGCAGGGGAGTCTGTGTGAAACATTCCCCAGGGGCCTGCGCGCTCTGCCCTGTTGTGTTTGTTGTGTCGCGTGAGCTGCTCTAGGAGCCCCTGGGGTCTGTGACTTGTTTCATGACAAACTAAACGCTTCACTAAGTCTCCTCCAAAGAGGTTTTTAGTCTGTCATTTGCTTCTTGGAAAAGGGAGTAGGTCAGACACGTCTCCATGACGACCCAGGCCCCCCCCCCCAGGCCCAGCATTCACCCGGGGAAACAGTTCTCATCCTCACCCGCATCCAGGCGCATGCTCACCCACCGTGTCCACGCAGCTGTGGGGACCTGTGCCCATGGGCCGGCCGCACGACCCCATGGTGGGAGCTCCAGAAAGCCCACCGGCCCTGTCGGGTGGTGGGACCCCAGGCGCAGCAGGTGCGGTCAGAGCTCCTGCCGGCTACCGTCAGTCGGATAAAGCTCCGGACGGAAAGCACGTGCAGGAGACACGGTGCTGGTGACAGGAAGACGCTCAAGTACAGAGAGGAGAGGACCCGGGACCCCGGCCTGGTGGGGGTGTGCCGAGTCCCGCCACGGGCGCCTCCCAGTGGCTGGCCCTTCCCCTGGGGCTGCTGAGCGACCCCGCCCACCCCACCCGCCACCCTCCACCCTGCCCCTCGCCCACTGACCCAGCCCAGCGCCGTGGCTGCTCCCACCTCGCCTGACCTCAGCGGCCAGGGCCGAAATGCGCTTCTCTTCCTGATGAGCCGACACCCTCCCTGTGTCTGCACAGCCCTCATCCTGGTTCAGAGCCCGCGTTCCACCGCCTCCCACACGTGTGTGCTCGCGTCTGTGCGCGCGTGTGTGATCAGAGGCCCGTGCACACGCGGGGGCCATGAGTGGTTGGGCCCGTCTGCTCTGCCCCGGCCATCCTGTCGCTGGCCCCCATGGCCCGGCCATCGCCCCGGTTGTCCTGTGTTGTTTCACGGGAGCGAGCGCGGGGGCCCCAGGGCTGCCGGCCGCAATGAGGCAGACCCCGCTTCTCTCCGCAGGAAGCAGGTCCTGGGGACCAAGGTGGACGCGGAGCGGGACGGCGTGAAGGTGCCCACCACGCTGGCCGAGTACTGTGTGAAGACCAAGGCCCCAGCGCCTGACGAGGGCTCGGACCTCTTCTACGACGACTACTACGAGGATGCCGAGGCCGAGGCCGAGGCCGACAGCTGCTTCGGGGACGAGGACGACTCGGGCACCGAGGAGTCCTGACCCCGCGTTTCCGCAAATAAACTGACAGATTTTACCTCAGCCGCCCACTCTCTGCCGCCGCCACTACCTCCGGACACTGCGTCCGCCCTGTCCCCTCCGCCTCCGGGGAGGCCGCTGCGCTCGCGGCCCCGCCTGGGCCGGACGCCGCTCGGGGACCCTGGCCCGCCCGCCCCACCCACCAGCTGGAGCCAGAGACTCGGGGTCCCGGCTTGAGAGCGGACAGATTGACTCGGGGTCACCTCTTCTCTCTGCTTGCGGTTGTTTGGAATCTAAATAAAGCGACTTTATGAGAAGCCCGAGGACCAACCTCTCCTTGGCCGTGAGGCCAACGGGGCCCAGGCGGGGACGCAGGCCCTGGTGCCATGCATGTGACCCGAGACAGGCAGGCGGCAGCCGCCCCTCCGAACCTGGAAGCTCCCCAGGGGTCTCCTGTCAGGTTTGCTGATTTGGGGGGAGGGGCCGCAGAGACCGGGGTCTGGCCAGGCGGGGGCCTGGGGTGTGTTCTTGGGGCTGAGGGGTGGCCCCGGGGGTCCGAAGCCCCAGCTCCTGGGCAAAAATAAAGTTTTATTGGAACAAAGCCACACCCATTTCTTCCCCTGCTTTAGAACGGAGTGATTGCAACCTAGCGTCTGGGCCAAAAGCCAGAAATACCGTCTGGGCGTTTACGGGAAAGGTTACCCCACCTGCCACCACCCTTGGGCCTGTGGGTCCAGCCCCTCTGCTCCCCTGGGACCCCTTCTCCCCTTCCCCGGGATTCTGTAACAAACAGATCCAGACTCGGTGCTCACCCTTCATCACGCTCGGCTTGTGTGGGTCGGGGTCACGTGGGTGTGGGGAGGGAGGGGTGCATGTCACTGCCCCACCGCCTAGATGACCGGAGCCTCAGGGCCGGGAGGATGAGGGCCCAGGGGCCAGGCCAGTGCCCACCAGCCCTAGGGTCACGCGGTGCCTCTTGCCCTGCACAGGACAGATGGGAACAGGCGTGAGCCCCCAGACCCAAGGGGAGGGGTCGAGGACCCACCCTCTAGGGAGCGTCTGAGGATGGAAGCCGGGGTGTAAATGCCCAGCTCTTGTCCCCAGATCCAAAGGAGCTTGTGCACGCAGTTGCCTCGCCCCGGGGCCTCGGGATCCTGTGCTCCCCCCCGGGGGCCTCAGCGTTGGGTTTGCCTGGTTCAACGTGGATTTCAGGTAAACAAACTGTTTTTACTCTCAGATCATCCCATGTAATGTTTGGGAAGTAATCATACCAAAAAGTTACTTGGCGTGTATCTGAAATTCGTCTCTTCTTAGTTGCCAAAATATGGCGCCCTCCCCTGCCCCCCAATACCAATGAAACCTACTTCCTGGGGTTATTAGAAAGATTAAACAAGGTAGGACACGTGAACACCCTATAAATACTCATTTTTCTTAAACTGAACCCTGGCCTCACAAGCCCTCCTGGGTGAAGACAACCTTAGCCTCGTGTGCCAGACGCAGTCAGAGGAGAGGTGGACGGTTTGCATCTGGCCTCAGAGCCCCAGCATCGGGGCGATCTCATCCTCCTCTGTGACCCATTTTTCATCCGAGTCTTCTTTATTTATCACAACCCTTTCAGCATCAGAGGGAAGAACGCTTGACTCATCACACTGACTCAAGTGCAGGAGAATTTCACTGGCTTCCGTGACTGACAGGGCGGGGGTTTCAGGCACAGCTGGAGCCAGGTGCTGGCTGTGCCCTGACTCTTGTCTCCCCCCCTACCTGTGGTCGGCAGAATAACAGCTCTGAAAACGTCCATGCCCGAATCCCAGCATCTCTGTCTCTAGATGCTGGAAAAGGCAGGAAATAATTCTCCCCTGTAGCCCCAGAGGAACCAGGCCGGCCCACACCTGGACCTTTGCCCCATGAAGCCCATTTCCTGCTTGCAGCCTCCAGAACTGTGGTTTCAGGCACTGAGCGTGTGGTCAGCTTCCTCTGTGTGGGCCTCATTCTCAGGTGGACGCCTCTCGCCTTGGGCCCACCCACACCCAGGGTGACATCTTTCCAAGTCCAGCAGAGAGTAAGGGCCGTCTGAAAAGTTCCAGAAGAAATGCGGGCCACAGTCTTCACTGAGCTGCTTTAGGGCTTAAGGTGGTCCTCTACCCTGAACCGAACCCTGTGGCCAGGGGGTACGGGGTGTGCTCTGATTGGCTGGTCGGGGTCACGTGGTGTCGGGGAGCAGCAAGGAGAGGGGTGGACCGAAGGAGGGAGGACCTAGCTGAGCCTGGCTAGGACCCTCGGATTTGCAGGAGCCCCCCAGGTACTCATAACACACGAGTGTTCATAGCATCTTTCTTCAAAATTGCCAAAATCTTGAAGACCCCAGATGTCCATGGACAGATGATGGATAAACACAATGCGGTCCGGGGAATTCCCTGGTGGTCCAGTGGTTAGGACACTGAGCTTTCACTGCTGAGGGCGTGGGTTCAATCCCTGGTCGGGGAACTAAGGTCCCGCAAGCCCCATGGCATGGCCAAAAGAAAAACAAAAAACAAAGAAACTAAACAGTGTGGTCCACCCAGACAGTGGAATATTATTGAGCCTTAAAAAGGCAGGAGATTCTGACACCTACTACCACAGGGATGAACCTTGAGGACATGATGCTCAGTGAGAGAAGCCAGACACAGAAGGACACATGGTGTCTGATTCCACTCACAGAGGGTTCCTGGGGGAGTCAGATCCACAGAGACAGGAAGTAGATGGTGGGGGCCAGGGGCTGGGGGAGGGGTGGGGAGTCAGTGTTTCATGGGGACAGAGTTTCAGTTTGGGAAATTGAGAAAGTTCTAGAGATGATGATGGGCTGGCTGCACGACAATGTGAAGGTGCTTAGTGCCGCCGAGCTGTGCGCTTAAAAATGGTTAAAATGGTGAATTATGGTGTGTGTATTTTGCAAAAATAAGACAACAGGGCAAGGAGATAATACCACTGAAACCACAAAACACCATGTGTGAGATGGGAGCTTGAACGTGATGGGACAGTAGATGCTAATGAAGGTTTCTCGTCAGCTTTTCAGGTGTGATCATGGTGACGGGGTTTTGTCTTCAGAGAGTCTGTATCTTTTAGAGGTACTTCAGGGTGAGGTGGAAGCAGCCAGAGCTGTGAATGTCACCTCCCCCACAGGAAGGGTGGGTGTGGGTGGCGCTGGGGGCCCGGGGCCAGCATCATGGAGGCCCCGCGATCCCCGATGCTGCTGCTGCTGGCGGTCCTGGGAGCCCTGTGGGCAGGTGAGCGCGGTGGGGAGACTGAGGCCCAGAGCTGTGGCACCTGGGGTCTGGGGGTGGGAGACAGGGCACGGGGCATCAGAACAGAGACTGGAAACAACTCCCCCGTCCTCAGAAGGGACCCCGCTGAAGACATGTTGGCTGCCCCAAAAGCACAAGGCGGCTTTCCTTGAAACAGCCTTGAAAATAGATGGTGGGTTAAGCAAAGGGCAAAAGGCCGAGGATGCCCGCCGTCCTGGGGGTTTCTTTTCTGACAGTATGTGAGAATCCATTCCCTTTTGCTGGAATATTTCTGGAAGAAGGCTCCAGAGCTGGGAGGCACGGAGGGAGGGAAGGAGTTTCACTTTCCCCCAACAGTTTTGTGCGGGGCACGTGGATGACCTAGTGAGAAGATAATATAAATTTTTTTAAATGGGAGGGATGTGGGACTTCCCTGGCAGTCCAATGGCTCGGACTTGGCGCTGTCACTGCCGGGGCCTGGGTTCAATGCCTGGTGGGGGAACTAAGATCCCACAAGCTTCAAGGCGTGGGGGGAAAAAAAAAACGGGGGGGCATAAATTAGGAGTTTGGGATTAACAGATAGACAGTACTATACATAAAAGAGATGAACAACAAGGTCCCACTGTTTAACACAGGGAACTGTATCCAATATCTTATAATAACCTAAAATCGGAAAAGAAACTGAAAAAGAATATATATCTATAACTGAATGACTTTGCTGTACACTTGAAACTAACACAACATTGTAACTCAACTATAGTTCAAGTTTTTTAAAAAGTGAGACCCAAAAAAAGCATTAAAAAAAAAAAAAGTGTGGGGCCTCCGTGGTGGCGCAGTGGTTGAGAGTCCGCCTGCCGATGCAGGGGACGCGGGTTCGTGCCCCGGTCCGGGAAGATCCCACATGCCGCGGAGCGGCTGGGCCCGTGAGCCATGGCCGCTGAGCCTGCGCGTCCGGAGCCTGTGCTCTGCAACGGGAGAGGCCACAGCAGTGAGAGGCCCGCGTACCGCAAAAAAAAAAAAAAAAAGTGTGAAGAGGGCTGCTAAGGGCACATGATCCCTTCCTGAGGAGATCATCTCACAGCTCAGTGCAGTGGAGGCTCGGAGAGTTTAGCAGGTGGATTGAGGGTCTGTGAGTTTTATCTACAGTAGCTGTTAGGACTTCTTCTAAGTGAAGCCTGAGGGCGAGGCGAGGCCTTGGGGCAGAGGAGAGGCCCCATCAGGACAGATATTTTACATGCTTTTCCTTTTGACTTAATTCTGCTTTTTCAGACAAGTCAAGGGAATCATGCAGATAACTTCCATCTTCTCTTCCCTAAATTCCTCAGTGGTAAACATTTGCTCCAGTTGCTTTATCATCCCCTCTTCCACTCACATCCCGACCCTGGGTGTGTGTGTTAAGTATAAATAGGTATGTTTATCATTCTTTTTCTGAGCCCGAGTGGGCTGCAGACGTGCTGCCCCTCACCCCTAAGCGCTCCAGTGAGTCTTCTGAGAACCAAGACAGCCCCTTATGTGACTGGTAGATTCTCAGCATCCTTCCTATCCGCTCACCTACAGACCTTATTCCAACTGTCGCCACGGGGTCCTCTGTGGGTCACTGCGTCGTCCTGCTGACCTCGGTCCCTGCGCTCTGGAAGCGTCTCTATGTCCCCCGGGTCCTCTGGCCACTGTGGGCCTGTCAGCTGCGTTCCCAGACTGGGCTCCGGTGGTGCAGTTTCCACAGGACCCACGGAGCGGGGCTGTGTTCTCCCGGTCCTGGTGGATCCGTTCGACCACTTGGAGAAGCTGAGGTTGGCCGGGCTTCTCCAAAGTGAAATCAAGCATTTCCCCTTGTAGTTGTCTTGAGGGGAGACTTTGGGACTCTGAGGGTAGAGCGTACTCCTCACACCTCACCCTCGAGCTGGATTCACAGGATGTGGGGCAGATGCAGGCTGTTTGCCCACCGGCAGCACGCAGGAGGCAGGGTGTGCTAGTATGTTTATACACAACTCCAGCTTGCGGGGGCAGGAGACCACAGCCCAGAGAGTGAGGCAGCCTAGCTTGGGTTGCCCAGAAGGGAGTGACGGAGCTGAAATTGGAGCCCCGGCTGCCTGACTTCCCAAATCATGAATGCGCGGCTAGAACCGGCACCTGGAGGCGTGAAATGGAAGGACAGCCGTGGTGGGCATCCCACTCTTCTGGCCTGGCTGGATGGCAATAGTTCTGTGATCAGTTGGTGACCCAGCAGGGTAGGAACCCAACCATCCACCCCTATCCTTTCTCCCTCCCTTCTTTCCTTCCTTCGTTCTATCCATCCATCACCCATCACCCAGCATCCATCCATCATCCATCTATCCATCCACTCATGCTTCCTTCCTTATTTGCTGACCATATATTGTATTAGACCTGTTGTAAACAAGACTGGCACAGAGCCTGTCCTTGCATCACTCATAGGCTAGTGGGAATAGACAGGCAATGCGGAAGTGTGTGGGATACAACACCAGGGTGGGGTGAGTGCTTGGAAGAGAACAGAGGAAGAGGAAGAGGAAGAGGTCTCTGAGGAGAAGACTTTTGGGCCGAGACCAGTGAGACAGCCAGACATCGGAATGTCTGGGGGAAATGCACTCCAGGCTTCCAGAACAGTACATGCAAAGGCCCTGAGGTGGGAACAAGGGCAGTGCCCTGGAGGAGCGGCAGGGAGACCCAAGTGCTGGAGTGGGTGAGGGCGAGTGTGAAGGAAGCAGGGTCAGCTGATGCGTGTCTCGTGGCTCATGAGGAGTTTAGATGTTTAAAGCACGTTGGGGAATCCCAGGAAGATTTTGAGCTGATTCACATTAGAGCACTTTTTTATCCTTTTAATTCATGATTGGTTTTAGAACAGTTTTTATAGCAGCTTTATTGAGATGTCATTCACATACTGTACAATTTGCCCATTTAAAGAATACAATTCAGAGAATTTCAGCGCATTCAGAGCTGTGCAACCAACCCCATAGTCTAATTCCAGAACATTCCATCCAGGGCTGCAGAGCTGGAGTTGCAGGGTCATGGCAGGGGTGGGGCACCCAGCCCTAACCTGGCTTTTTCTCTCCCCATCCCCAGGAGGCAACACGTTTGAGACCCACATCATTGGGGGTCGAGAGGCTGCCCGCAACTCACACCCATACATGGTTTCGCTGCAGAAATCCGGCTCCCACCTGTGTGGGGGGGTCCTCGTGAACCGGCAGTGGGTGTTGACAGCTGCCCACTGCCTGATCCATCCGTGAGTGACCCTGCCCTGCCCCACCCCCATCCCCCCAGCTGTCCCCAAATCTATCCTGTCATCCCCACTCTCACCTGAGAGATTTAAGCCAATTGTAGCATTGTGGGGGGGGGGGTCCCCTTGCCCTCTGCAGCGATTGCTGAGGCGTGCGTATGTGACACTGACCTTAGGCGTGTGTATGTGACATTAGGCCGTGAGGATTCCTGGGGATGGTTTATCTGCTACAACAAAGCACCTTCCAAGTGGACAGGGTCAGGCCCCTTGTGACACCCAGGAGTATATCTCCCACCTGTGGCCATGTGGACAGAGCTGGTCTATGAGGGTGGCAGGGCCAACACAGAGAGGAACCTGGGTCCCTGATGCCATTGTGAAGCCACCAAATGAACCCATCCCAGAGCTGCCCTACCTCTGGTCTGGCCAGTAACCAAGACCACAGATCAAACTGGGGGAAATAACCAAGAGGGACCTGTTGGTTCGTGTAACTGAAAACGCCAGGAGGAGGCAGCCTTCAGGCATGGCTTGATCCAGGTGCTCCCATGAGGCGCTCAAAAGCTTGCCTGTGTCTCAACTCTGCTGTCTTGCCCCCTGGCCACATTATCAGGCAGGCTCTCTCCCATGGTGGCAAGGATGGGCCCCCTTAAGTCCTGTCAAAAGAGCTTCTTCCTCTCTAGTTTGGGCAAGTTTATGAGGATAGGTCCCGATGGGCCCAGCTAGGTCACTGCCAGCCTCTGAACAAATCACTGATGTTGAGGCATAACGTACGCGCTGTCTGGAGCCCCAGGCTGGTGGTGGGGGCAGGGAGGGTCAGCATTTTTAAGACACACACAGCACAAGCCCCTGGCCGGGCCGAGTCTGGGGAGGGGTGGGAGCAGGGAAGGCTTACTGGAGGAGGTGGGGAGAAGAACGGGCTGAGCAGTAGCAGGGGAAGGACCCCAGAGAGAGGCTGGGGGAGGGGGTGCGGGACACCGAGTGCCCCTGAGGCTGCAGGGCTGCCGCCCACACCCTGATCTTGTGCCCCCAGGACACAGCTGCTGAGGCTGGTGCTGGGGCTCCACGTGCTCGGAGACCCTGCCCTTACCTGCCACATCAGGGAGGTGGTCCTGCACCCCGAATACAAGCCAGCCCCCCATCTGAAGAATGACCTCGCGCTGCTTAAGGTGCTGCCAGTGGGAGAAATGGTAGTTCCAGGTCCCCTCCCTCAGTGTGGTGTTCCCCTCCCCCAGGGTCCCCTCCCCACTGTCCCTCCCCCAGGAACCCCTCCCTCATCGCCCCTCCCCCAGTGTTCCCCTCCCCCAAGGTCCCCTCCTGCACTCACCTGCCCCTTTCTGTTCCCTGTAGTTGGATGGGAAGGTGAAACGCAGCAAGACCATCCGGCCCCTGGCCTTGCCGCGAGGACGCCAGGCAGTGGCCGCAGGAGCACGGTGCAGCATGGCCGGCTGGGGTGTGACCCACCAGAGTGGGCAACTGGCCAGGGCACTGAAGGAGCTGGATATGCACGTGCTGGATGCCAGGATGTGCAACAACAGTCGGTTTTGGCAGGGTGGCATCAGCCCCCGCATGATCTGCCTGGCAGCCTACTCCAAGAACCAGGCCCCCTGCAAGGTGAGGGCGCTGGGGTGGGGGGCGCCTCATCGGCCAGCAGCTGGGCACCCAGGCAAGCCCCAACTCTCCCCAGGCCCTGCTCCCTCCATTCCCTGGGGGTCCTGAAGGTTGGCACGAGCGTGAGCCCATTTCTCAGGTGCAGAAACTGAGGCACAGAGAGGTTGCCCATGGTCACATAGCCAGCAGCAGAGCTGGGGCATGAACTCCAGCACCCAGGAAGATCAGGGCATAGATAGAGCATGTGCAAAGGCCCTGCGGTGGGAAGAAGGAGCAAAGAGAGTTAAAAGGAAAGGAAGGGAGGAGGGAATGAAGGAGGTCGGGGGACGAAGGGTGCAGGGAGAGGGGGGCAGGGGTCTCTTCCCTGGAATCAGCCTCCTGCCCCCCACCTCCCGCAGTGGGCAGCAAGGTGACCGGTGCTCTGTTGCCTCGGCAGGGGGACTCAGGAGGACCCGTGATATGCAGCAGAGGCCAAGTGGCTGGAATCCTGTCCTTCAGCTCTAAGAACTGCACCGACATCTTCAAACCCCCCGTGGCCACCGCCGTGGCCCCCTATAAGTCCTGGATCGAGAAGGTCATCGGCCACTAGCGGCCCGCTTCCCTAACCCGACCCTCCAGAGGTGGCCCGACTCCCCTTCTGTGCGCCAGCAGGATTGCAGGGAGGGGCGGCCGGGGGCCTGCATGTGTCAGGGGACCAATAAACTCTAATAAGGAAATGGCATGAGCCGGCCTGGATTCTGCCCCATGCGGGGGTGGGGGGGCAGGGGGAATGAGAGCTCCCCATTTACAAAACAGAGGTTGCAGGTTTGAGGCTTCCCAGGCGGCCCAGCAGCTGGCGAGGGCCCCGAGGGTGCCTGGCAGGGGGCAGCGCTGGCCACTGGGTTCCGAAGCCAGATTCCCTCTGGCAGGGGGTGGGCTGGGCACTGGGGAGCCAGAGGGAGACACGGAGAAAGCAGCCAGGGATCTTCTTCCCCCTCTTTTTTATTTTGGTGCCGCCTTTATTGAGATATAATTCACACGCCATACAATTCACCCTTTTGAAAAGTGTGTAATGCAGTGGTTTTCGGTACATTACCCGGGTTGTGCCACCAGCCCCTCTGTCCAGTTCCAGAACATTCCATCACCCCAAAAGCAACCCCAGCCCCTCCCCCAGCCCCTGACGACCAGGAATCCACCCTCTGTGTCTGTGGATTTGCCTGTTCCGGATGCTTCCCGTCAATGGAATCACACCCTGTGTGTCCACGTCTGGCTTCTCTCACGGAGCATCGTGTTCTCAAGGTCTGTCCACGTTGTAGCGAGTGTCGGGGCTACCGAGTGACGTTCCTGGGTGTGGAGGGACATGTGTGTGTATCTGCTCACCTGTCCGTGGACACTTGGGCTGTTTCCACCCTGGCTGCTGTGGCCATGGGCGCACAGGCGCGTGTGTGGACGTGTGTTTTCAGTTCTCCCGGGCCTGCGCCGACGAGGGAGGGCTTGCTGGGCCACGTGGTGACTTTCTGTTGAACAGTTTGTGGAACTGCTGTTTTCCAGCAGAGTCTTTTACTTTCCCTCTGAAAACCTCAAACACACAGCCACGTTGAAATAACCGCACACTGAACACCTAGGTGCCCACCATGCAGGTTCTGCCAGGAGCAGGTGATGGGCCTGCTTCTTGGTCCACTGTCCGTCTGTCCGTCCATCTGGCTTTGCTGCATCTCACAGCAGACAGACACTGCCCTGTGGGGACACGGCCGGGATTGCAGGACTTATTTAGCGCCCTGTCTCTCCCTCCTACGCGGCGGAACGCACAGGTGTCACTCAAGGATCTGCTGCTCCGACAGCAAGGACAGATGTGAACAACACAAGCCCTGCAACATGCACATCCCTGACCCCAGAAGATCGCTCAGCCCCTCACAGGCTTGTCGTGAATGGAGCTTTTGCATAGTGACTACAGCACATGGGCGAGAAGTTAAAAGGACAAAACCCACCAAGGGAAAAAAGTGCCCCACGTCATCCACCGATAACCTTTTCCCCAGGAAGTAAGTGCCTCTGGTGCTTTCCGTCCTCATCTGAGGGTTTTCTAAGCAGGAAAGGCCACTGCTCAGGCAGCCAGCCCGGCACTGCCTCAGCCCAGGCCAGGGAGCAGCTCCCGGCCCCCACCTGCCGCCTGTATCCGCTTGTCTGGGCTATGCGCCCAGAAGTGGAGTTTGCCCATCAGAAGGCAAGGGCTTTTCCCCTTTGGTGATGGCAGCAGAATTTCTTGTCTGCCGAGCACAGACTGAGTTCCAGGCCTCCTGCAAAGTGTTAAGATGCTTTAGGAAACCCTTGCCATCTTTATTCCAGAGCCAGAGAGAAGGAAGGATGAAAAGGAGGCGGAGGACGGAGACCACCCACCTTCTCTCTCTCTCTCTTTTTTCTTTTCCAAACTGCTAAAGCTTCTTTATCTTTTTTTTTTTTTTAATAGACTTTACTTTTTTAGAACAGTTTTTTTTTTTTATTTTGGCAGTACGCGGGCCTCTCACTGTTGTGGCCTCTCCCGTTGCGGAGCACAGGCTCCGGACGCGCAGGCTCAGCGACCACGGCTCACGGGCCCAGCCGCTCCGCGGCATGTGGGATCCTCCCGGACCGGGGCACGAACCCGCGTCCCCTGCATCGGCAGGCGAACTCAACCACTGCGCCACCAGGGAAGCCCTATTTTTAGTTTTTTAAGGAACCTCCATACTGTTCTCCATAGTGGCTGCACCAATTTACATTCCCACCAGCAGTGCAAGAGGGTTCCTTTCTCTCCACACCCTCTCCAGCATTTACTATTTATAGACTTTTTGATGATGGCCATTCTGACCAGTGTGAGGTGATACCTCATTGTAGTTTGTTTTTTGTTTTTGTTTTTGTTTTTTTTTCTCATTGTAGTTTTGATTTGCATCTCCCTAATAATTAGCAATGTTGACCATCCTTTCATGTGCTTCTTGGCCGTCTGTATATCTTCTTTGGAGACATGTCTATTTAGATCTTCTGCCCATTTTTCGATTGGGTTGTTTGTTTGTTTTATTTTGAGCCACATGAGCTGCTTATATATTTTGGAGATTAATCCCTTGTGGGTCGCTTCGTTTGCACATATTTTCTCCCATTCTGTGGGCTGTCTTTTCGTTTTTCTGATGGTTTCCTTTGCTGTGCAAAAGCTCTTAAGTTTAATCAGGTCCCATTTGTTTGCTCTAGCAAGTTAATCAAACCCGAGGAGATGGGTGGCAGGAACCCCGATAGCTGGTCAGTCAGAAGCTCAGGGGACGTGGTGGACTTGGGATGGATGTGTGGGGTGGGGGCAGACATGTGGGGCTGGCCTGTAACCTGGGGGTCTGACCGACTCTGGGCAGAGAGGGTCAGAACTGAGTTAAATCTTCAGGATGGCATCCTCTGGGCATTGGAGGACTGCTGGGTGCTTGACAAACACCCCAGGCAAACACCCCTGTGTAACCAGCGCCTAGGTCGACAGACAGAGCAGGAGCTCCACAAGCCTCCTCCCCAGCAAGGTTCCCATCCCCGAGATGGGTCCTGCCTGCCTGTGCGTCCCCGAGGATACTGCTCTGTGCCCGGGGCCTTCCCTCAAGTGCGACAGTCCTCCCGCCTGGCCACCCACGCCATTCCCATGGGGTGTTCCATGGAGCACCCCACTCACATTCCCACGCTCCTGTAGACCCGGGGGTCTCACCTGGGGCAATTCTGTCCCAGGGACACGGGGCCACAACTGGGGATGTCTGTGGTCCCTAGGACTTGGGGGCTCCAGCGTTGAGCACATGGGGCCGGGGAGGCCGCTCCACACCCCACGGCGCCCAGGATGCCCCACAGACGGTGAGCCCCCCATGGCAGCAGGCGGGGCTGGGGAGCCCCGATGGAGGGACCTAGGCTTGTCTCTGAAGGTCTGGGGCCTCACGAAGCCAGCGCCGCACTCACCGCACTCCCAGCAAAGGGAGAGGGCTGAGCACCTGACCCCACCGGGCGCACCCCAGCCTGCAGAAAAGCTGTGCATCTTCCAGCCTGCAGAAAAGCTGAAGACCCTGCAGAGAGCGGCGGTATGCCCCACCTCCAGAGCTGGCAGGTTGGCACTTTGCACATTCCCTGCCTGTTCTGGACGTTTCCCATCCATGGAGTCACACCCTGTGGGTCCTTCTGTGTCTGGCTTCTCTCACTGAGCATCCTGTTCTCAAGGTCCGTCCACGTGGTGGCGAGTGTCAGGGGTTCTCTCCTTTTCAGGCTGAGCGACGTTCCCGTGTGTGGAGGGACCACATGGCATTTGTCCATTTATCCATCGAAGGACACATGGGCTGTCCCGGCGCCCTCGGCTGCTGAGGGTGCACAGCTGCCCTCTGGCCGCCGCCTTCCCGCAGTTCAGCTGCGGAAGGATTTCGGCATCACACCTCCAGCAGCGCCACCGGACGCTGCAGTTTTCAGGGATCTGTGCCATCCTCCAGTAAGTCCCTGATTGGGAGGGGGGAGGGCCGGCGGCGGGGACCTGGGGTGGCTCCAGCTGGACGGAGATCAGCGGAGGCCTGGCGGTGTTTGGAGGCCTGAGGCCCTGGAGGGGGAAGCTTGTCTGCGTCCACAGCTGTCGCCTCCGCCCAGCTGAGCCCCACCCCACGCCCAGATGAGCAGGACCCTGAGAGCCTTAAAGGGACAGAGTGAGGCACTGACAGCAGGACATGCTGGGGGACTCGGGGCACCAGGGCACCGCCACAGGGGGTCAAAGGGCATGACCGAGTGTCAGGGCTGGGCGGGGGCTCTGGTCTCTGCCGGTTTCAGCTGGCCGGCTGGGGGTTGGGGGATGGTAGGAGAGGGACCCTGCAGGGAATGCGTTTCCCAAAACCAACCCTACACCTGGCCGCTCAGAGCAACTGTGTTGTGTCCTGGAATAAGGGCCAGGAGAGCAACATGACAGCTCAATTCAGTGTCCCCAGGGCCTGGGAAAAACTTTCCATAATGGCTGAGGTTGGGGCCTGCAGGGAGACTGGACCGCAGGGATGATCCAACATTAATTTACAGGGAGACCTCAGACGCGTCTTCGGATCCCAGCCTTCGTGTCGCGTCTTAGCTTGAAGGCGGTGGTGTCCTCACACGCAAATGGTTCTGGAAAATGTGAGAGGGAAAGGCAGAGATAGAGATGGAGAGACAGAGAGAGAGGAGAGACAGAGACAGAGGAAGGGGTTGGGTCACAAACGTGGCCAAGGCCCCTGGCCGAGAATCCAGGTGCAGGGGGCTGCTGTCCCCTTGGTGCCCCTGTAGGTTTGAGGACTTCTCAAAATAAACTGTTGAGAAACAAAGAACCCTCCCCTTGTTCCACCAGGACAAAGACATCAGCAACAGGGTGAGGAAACCTTGAAACGCCAGGACACCTTAAAGCTCAGCCCCCACGAGGCCCAGGGAGGGTTTCCGTGGACAGCAGCCCCCCAGGTGTTCAGGACACTGTGCATCACAACTGTGCAGGGGAAGAATCTCTTGAATTCTCTGCCATCTCAGCGGGGGAGGCTGAGGAGAGGCTGGATCATCTCTCACTTTCAGATGCTTTGTTTTGTTTTGTCCTGTTTTTACCTATCGGACTTGTTCGCTAGGAAAGATCACCAGCCCCCGGCCACGTTCATCTGGGGGAACCGCCTGTCCCTTTTCCAGGGAGAGCAGTAGTTAAGAAGGAGAAGCCAAAGGAGGTCAGAGGGCAGCTGCTTCTGTAAATCCCTTCCGGGCACGTCTGCCCTT